GTATGCTTGTTAATAGATTTGCCTTAAAAAATCCTTAAAGGCTTCCTTCTTTTTAGATTTTATCATTCTTCTGGTTATAGCTCTGCATCTTTTATACTCAATAAATGCGTGTGTTGTCTGCTCTTTGATAAATCTCTTTTGTGCTTTTCTTCTATACTTAATTATTTCCTCACATTCTTGATCCCACCATTTAACTGGATTGGCCTTTCCTGTCATTTTGTTGTAATTTATTTACTTTTTCTCCTACTACTAATTTACTTTTGTTTGGGATAACATTGATGGACACTTGTCTAATAATGTCGCATATTTGCTCATACATTTTAAGCATTTTTTGTCTTTCTTTCAACTGCATAACCTTATCTTTCTCTATGTTCAAATTTCTAAGACTTCATGGCTGTAATCTTTCCACCTTGTTTTTCTTGTAGTAATTTTATTAGTTCTCCTTATATACCTCGTAACCTCGATATCCATTTGCAACACTATGGGGAAGTAATCTGAGCCTCATGTATCCATAACTTGATAAAAGAATTATTTATTAGGTGTACAAAAAACTTCTGAGCTTTTTTTTGTAAAATTCAATCTTTATTAAAAAACAAACAAAAAATATTAATCAGCGAAATATTCCCCGTTTGCATCAACAACCTTGTGCCATCTTTCGGGTAGCTTGCGAATTCCTTAACGATAGAAGTTCATCGGCTTCGAAGCGATAAAGTTATCAATGCATTTTCGTATCTCTTCAAATCTCACGAAATGTATCAGCCAAATGATGCTGCAGCGACCGGAATAGGTAGTAATCGGAAGGCGTCTGGGTTATACACCGCGTGCGGGAGAAGTACCCAGCCTAACGCAAAGATATGGTCCTGAGTCGCTTTTGTAACATGTGGTCGAGCATTGTCATGAAGCAAGATCACTTTACGACGTCCTTGGCCAGTAAATGGTCTCTTTTCTTCTAATGCATCGCTCAAATTGGTCAATTGTAGCGGTCTGCCGTGATTTCACCCGGTTGTAACTCGTAATACAACACACCTTTCCAATCCCACCAGATACAGAGACCTAAAACCTTCTTGGTGTGGATATTAGGCTTTGGCGTCGATGTCGAAGATTGACCAGGGTCAACCCATGATTTTCTACGTTTAGGGTTATCATAAAGAATCCACTTTTCATCGCCTGTAATGATTTTGTGCAGAAAATCTTTTTTCCGGAACTTTGAAAGCAAAATGAGTGCAGTGTCACGCCGACGATTTTTGTT